TGCTGGGAAAAAACTTCCACTGATCCCCTGAGAGGCAATCGGATATTCCCTGGATCAACTTTACCTATAAATGTTAGTATCCAGTTATATTCTGTGTATCTAAGAAACAGACCTTTTTTGAAGCAATCCACTGAGCTGGCCAGAACCAACTCTTGAGGAAGTCTATTCCACATTTTCACAGCTCTCACTGTGAAGAAATCTTTCCGTGTTTGGAGATTACATTTCTTTTCCTCCAGACATAAATAGTGCCCCCTTGGCCTCTGTGATGACCTCAGGGTGAATAGCTCTATACCGAGGGTGATATGCAGTGTTCGTTTTCTGCCACACATAGCGTTTTGCTTTTAGGCCAAAACGTTCCATTTTGGTCTCATCTGACCAGAGCACCTTCTTCCATATGTTTGCTGTGTCCCCCACATGGCTACTCTGGCAAACTGCAAGCGGGATTTCTTATGGCTTTCTTTCAACAATGGCTTTCTTCTTGCCACTCTTCCATAAAGGCCAGATTTGTGGAGTGCATTACTAGTAGTTGTTGTTCTGCCTCAGCTATACGTGGTGCGGGTATAATCAGACAGACAGATAACCCTCCTCCCTTAACAACTCATTGATGCAGGCGCTAGGTCCTGTTTTCAACTTTTATTGCAGGGAAGGTAGAGTAAAACTACAAATGAAAGAAATAACATTCAATCAGTATATACAATCTACAAAATATACAGTCCTGACACACTAGTCTAGCTAGAAAGGGGTTTTTAAACATACCAGCGATGTTTCCAATAGGCTGACAACAGAACTGCAGCTGAATGCGTGTGGAGTCCTCTGGAGGAGATGTAAAGATGGCTGCTAGGAGATGTCTCTAAGACCTCACGGTGAAGCCCATAGGATGATGGGAAAACTACGGTGGCCTTTAAGCAACAAAATGTGTAACTACAAAAACGAATCTATAAAACTGTAATACAAAAGAGCCACTAGATGGCGATGTAACTACAGAAACGAATCTATAGAACTGTGATACAAAAGAGCCACTAGATGGCGATATTACATTTTACCTTACATTCCATAGCATAATAAACTAACAATGGACATAACATAAAAATATGCTGAAGGCATGACAGTTGTCCTCTGGACATATTCTTCCACCTGAGCTGTGGATCTTTGCAGCTCCTCCAGAGTTATCATGGGCTACTTGGCTGCTTCTCTGATTAATGCTCTCCTTGCGTGTCCTGTCAGTTTAGGTGGACGGTCATGTCTTGGTAGGTTTGCAGTTGTGCCATACTCTTTTTCGATTTCGGATGATGTGTTTAACAGTGCTCTGTGAGATGTTCAAAGCTTGGGATATTTTTTATAACCTAACCATGCGTGTAACTTCTCCACAATTTTATTCCTGACTTGTCTGATGTGTTCCGTGGCCTTCATGATGCTGTTTGTTCACTAATGTTCTCTGACAAACCTCTGAGGGCTTCACAGAACAGCTGTATTTATACTGAGATTAAATTACACACAGGGGAACTCTATTTACTAATTAGGTTACTTCTGAAGGCAATTGGTTCCACTAGATTTTAGTTATAGGTATCAGAGTAAAGGGGGCTGAATACAAATGCATGCCACACTTTTCAGATATTTATCTATAAAAAAATTTGAAAACCATTTATCATTTTCCTTGCACTTCACAATTATGTGTAACTTTGTGTTGGTCTATCACATAAAATATGATTAACGTTACATTTACGGTTTTGGTTGTAACATGACAAAATGTGGAACATTTCAAGGGGGACAAATACTTTTTTTTTATCTCTCTACTAGCTGTATGTTAATGTTCTTGATTTTAGCTAAATACATGCTTTGACCACTTCAAGACTGGACACTTTCACCCCGCCTACTATGGGATATATATTTGAAATTTAAAAAATTAAAATGCTGGTATGGTGTATGGTGGTGATCAGTGCATTGGTTTGAGGTATGATGGTGATCAGGAAGCTGGTATGGGGTATATGGCAGTGATCAGGACGCTGGTATTGCACATGGGGTGATCAGGATGCTGGTATGGGGTATGGCAGTGATCAGAATGCTGGAATGGGGTATGGCAGGATTCAGGATGCTTGTATGATGTATGGTGGTGATCAAAAACCTCAAGCGACGCAGTCGCGCGCTAGAGTGACTATGGCGTAAAACCAGATCCCAACAAGCATTCACCCAATATAAATCCGCCTTCCTCACCTACACTTCCTCCCTCCACGCTGCCAAGCAAACCTACTTTGTAACCCTCATCAATACCCTCTCCTCCAGCCCTCGCCGGCTCTTCTCCACCTTCAACTCTCTGCTCTCTCCGCCCCCACTTCCACCCAGTACCTCACTCACCTCCCACGAGATTTCTAACCACTTCCAAAGCAAGATCGACACAATTCGCGGGGACATCACCACTGCTCAGACTTCCGCCTCACCTAGCATCCCTCACACGAAAACCCCCTCAACACTCCTTTCCTTCGACCTCGCCACTGTCCAGACCTCTACCCTGCCCAACATTCCCCACACTCAAACCCCCTCAACACTCCACTCCTTCAACCCTGCTACCACTGAAGAGGTCACTAAGGTCTTCTCTGAAGCTCTCCTTACCACCTGCCCCCTTGGTGTATGGTGGCCATCAGGATGCTGGTATGGCATATGGGGTGATCAGAACACTGGTATGGGGTATGAGGGTGATCAGGATGCTGGTATGGGGTATGGCAGTGATCAGGATGCTGTTATGGTGTATGGAGATGATCAGGGTGCTGGTATGGCATATTGCAGCGATCAGGGTATTGGTATGGCATATGATGAAGATCAGGGAGCTGGTATGTATATGATGGTGATCAGGGTGCTGGAATGGCGTATAGCTGTGATCAGGACGCTGGTATGGTGTATGGTGGTGATCAGAACGCTAGTATGGTATATAGCGGTGATCACAATGCTTGTATGGTGTATGGCAGTGATCAGGAAACTGGTATGATGTGGCAGTGATCAGGATGCTGTTATGATGTATAGAGATGATCAGGGTGCTGGTATGGCATATTGCAGTGATCAGGGTGCTGGTATGGCATATGGCAGTGATCAGGGAGCTGGTATGGCATTGGGCAGTGATCAGGGAGCTGGTATGGCATATGATAGTGATCAGGGTGCTGGTGTGGCATATAGTGGTGATCAGGATGCTGGTATGGCGTATAGCGGTGATCAGGATGCTGGTACGGCATATATCGGTGATCAGAATGCTTGTATGGTGAATGGCAGTGATCAGGACACTGGTATAATGTGGCAATGATCAGGATGCTGTTATGATGTATGTAGATGATCAGGGACCTGGTATGGCATATGATGGTGATCAGGGAGCTGGTATGGATATGATGGTGATCAGGGAGCTGGTATGGATATGATGGTGATCAGGGCGCTAGTATGGCGTATAGCAGTGATGAGGGTGCTGGTATGGTGTATGGCGGTGATCAGAACACTAGTATGGCATATAGCGGTGATCAGAATGATTGTATGGTGTATGGCAGTGATCAGGGTGCTGGTATGCTATATGGCGGTGATTAGAACGCTGGTATGGGGTATGGCATTGATCAGGGTGCTGGTATGGCATATAGCGGTGATCAGGACGCTGGTATGGTGTATGGCGGAGATCAGGGTGCTGGTATGGTGTATGGCGGTCCTCAGAATGCTAGTATGGCATATAGCGGTGATCAGAACGCTTGTATGGTGTATGGCAGTGATCAGGGTGCTGGTATGCAATATAGCGGTGATCAGAAAGCTTGTATGGTGTATGGCAGTGATCAGAGAGAACCAATGTTTGCTTTTAGATTCTGTTGTTTACCATGTGATTGGACACAGCAATCATATGGTACAAGACCATGTGATCACCCAGACACAGTGGTAATGCAGGAAGACATCCAGGAATGTCTACCCGCATTGGCACGCATCTCATCTGGCCATTTATATACATGGGCTAGACAGGAAGTGGTTCAATAAATGCTAATGTGTTGCAAACAAAATATATCACCAAACATTCTACATAAGGTCCCTGTTTTAAAGGAATACATGCAAATCAAAATCACAGTTTAAACCATGAGGTTCTAAAGTATTCAGATATTCAATCTAGTGCACCTCCTGTTTCTTTAACATTAATGTGACACTAAACAATATCCATGGTCTCCAAGAATAATCCATACACTACACATCCACTACTTAATGGCCCTCTAATCTGTTTTTCATTAAATCAGTTCTTATTTTTCTGGCTTCTTATAACAATCCCAGTGAGCTTCTGAACCTATTCTTTTCCCACTCATTTGTTTGATTGGATCCAGCTCTATGCACACCACAAATCCCATGGTCCATCTCAGGAGTGAGCAAGAGAGGGTGGCTGCATTCCTACATACAATGGGACTATGGAGAACGAATGTAGCCACCCTCTAACAGGAAGTCACATCACGCCAGAAAAACAAAGGAATTTGCAGGAGTCTGAGAGCAATAGAAGATACTTTTTTGAGTGAAGAATACATACTTGGATAAAATATTGTTATTAAATCAGAGTTCAGTGTCACTTTAATACTTTAAGTTTGTAGGCACATGGCACAGAATATAATGATTTGTATATATACGCTGTATTGTATTGATTTGTATTTTAACAAACTGTGAATGAATATCAACAAGCTATTTTTTTGCTAGGAAAATGACTTGCTCCTGACGTGTCACTAATTGTTTTACTACATTCTTTTACTTTGATTTTCAACATAGTTGTTTGTTGCATTGTTGCTCGTAAAAGCTGCCCTATTAGCATTACAGCATTAAAAGTGCAACAAGAAAACCCAAAGCAACAAATCAGAACCCTTTGATGTCAGACCAGTGTGAGCTGCACTCATACAGGTTGCTCTTGGTACTGCCCCTGCCCTGTTTAAATCTAAAGTAACAAAATAATTATATTTTTGGAATAATATCATATATGTTCTTGTTCTTTCTAAAATCAGGTATCCTCCACAATGGAGGCTGAAGCGGATTCGGCTGCAGAAATGAATGGTCAGGAAGAAGCTGACAGTGATGGGGAAGATAGCGCTAGCCAGTCAGACACTGAAGAAGAGAGCTCTGGTTTGTATCTTCTAAAAGTTTACTATTTGTCTCAAAATATCTAAGGGCCAGTTCACACCACAATTTCTGCCTTCGGGATTCGTTTCTGCATATGTATTTACACACTTTTTTTTATGTGTTTCGGTGCACTTCATGTGTGTTCCATTACGTCTACATGCATTCCAGTGCATTTTCCATGCATTTTGCTGTATTCCATACAGAAAAAAATGCAGCAGAGACACCCATACACAAAAAATTTTCTGCAGACATGGCGTCCCTGGCTTGATATAGCCCAACCGTCGAGATTCTGTCAATATAAAATTTACACATGAGTTTATTTTTCTTTTTTTTTCTGTTGCGGTCCCCCTGGAGCCGTTTTTTGTTTTTGTCTCCTTTCTCTTCGTTCCTCTCTTTCCTTTTGTTTAATCTTTTTTTATGCTATTTGTGCTGATTGTGATTATTGCTTTGAGTGCCGTACCAGCAATACTATATCCTTATGCTAGACTCCATCAAGAGCCCAGCGTGTGGGAGTACCTACAGTTGCAAGAAAAAGTATGTGAACCCCTTGGGATTACGTGGAGTTTTGCATGAATTGGGCATAAAATGTGCTCTGAACGTCATCTAAGTCACAACAATAGAAGAACACAGTCTGCTAAACATAATACTACACAAACATTAGATGTTGCCATGGTTTAATTGCACATAACATGTAAACATTCACAGTGCAGGGAGGAAAAAGTATGTGAACCTTTGGACTTAATAACTGGTTGACCCTCCTTTGGCAGCAATAACCTCAACCAAACGTTTCCTGTAGTTGCAGATCAGACCTGCACAACGATCTGGAGTCATTTTGGACCACTCCTCTTCACAAAACTGTTTCAGTGTAGCAATATTCTTGGGATTTCTGGTGTGAATCGCTTTCTTAAGGTCATGCCACAGCATTTGAATTGGGTTGAGGTCAGGACTCTGACTGGGCCACTCCAGAAGGCGTATTCTGTGCTGTTGCAGCCATTGTTTTGTTGAATTACTTGTATGCTTTGGGTCATTGTCCTGTTGCATCACCCATCCTCTGCGGAGCTTCAGTTGGCAGACAGATGGTCATACGTTTTCCTGCAAAATGTCTGATAAACTCTGGAATTCATTTTCCCATCAATGACAACAATCCGTCCAGGCCCTGAGGCAGCAAAGCAGCCCAAACCATGATGCTCCCTCCACCATGTTTTACAGTGGGGATGAGGTTTTGATGTTGGTGTGCTGTGCCTTTTTTTCTCCACACATAGTGTTGTGTGTTCTTCCCAAACAACTCAATCTTGGTTTCATCTGTCCACAGTATATTTTGCCAGTAGTGCTGTGGAACATCCAGGTGCTCTTTTGCAAACTTTAAACGTGCTGCAATATTCTTTTTGGACAGCAATGGCTTCCTCCATGGTGTCCTCCCATGTACTCCATTCTTGTTTAATGTTTTCCTTATTGTAGATGTGTCAACAAAAATGTTAGCATGTGCCAGAGATTTCTGTAGGTCTTTAGCTGACACTCTGGGATTCTTCTTTACCTCATGCAGCATTCTGCGCTGTGCTCTTGCAGTCATTTTTACAGGACGACCACGTCTAGGGAGAGTAGCAACAGTGCTAAACTTTCTCGATTTGTAGACAGTCTGTCTTACCGTGGACACATGAACATCAAGGCTTTTGGAGATATTTTTGTAACCCTTTCCAGCTTCATGCAAGTCAACAATTCTTGATCGTAGGTCTTCTGAGAGCTCTTTTCTGCGAGGCATGGTTCACATCAGACCGTGCTTCTTGAAACCAGTAAACCCAAAACAGGTGTGTGTGTTTTTTAAGGGCAGGACAGCTGTCAGCAACACATCCAATATCATCACACTGATTGGAGTCAAGGTTGGCTCACTCCTGGCTCCAATTAGCTCTGGGAGAAGTCATTAAGCTAGGGCCTCACATACTTTTTCCTCCCTGCACTGTGAATGTTTACATGTTATGTGCAATTAAACCATGGCAACATCTAATGTTTGTGTAGTATTATGTTCAGCAGACTGTGTTCTTCTATTGTTGTGACTTAGATGATGTTCAGAGCACATTTTATGCCCAATTCATGCAAAACTCTACATAATCCCAAGGGGTTCACATACTTTTTCTTGCAACTGTATCTGCATTTGAAGAAGCTCCATCTCATATTTTGTCCGCTTTCTGTATGCTGATATAGTGACAATTTTTCCTTAGAGTTTATATTGTCATTGGTCTCTAAATGTCTACCATTTTTGCAACTTATTGTTTTCTCCCTTTTTTTTTACTCTCTTCTTCTCTTTTTCTATACACAGCACTTGTGTACACAGTTTATTTTTATGTCTCTCCATCAGTACATATTCTGTAATATTCCTCGATTACCTTGTATGTATTATTCCTGTTGCTCAATGCGTCTGTTTTTCACTGATTCTCTGCTGCTATCTATTCTATAATAAAATTCTTTGTAAAAGAAAAAAAATGGAGCAGGTTTTACTTTTGTTTACTGCAAATCTTGAAGTACAGTACAGGACACAGGCTACCCTCACTAGTCTCCTTGTTCCTCTGCATTGCTTTCTAAAAAACTGAGGACACATGGGGTGGGGTTATGGGGGAGGCCCCAGGAGCCTGTGTGTATGGCAGCTCATAGAAATTAATGGTCTGTCCTACACATGATGCACAATACGCACTACATCACTCCTTCAGTCTTAGAGGAAAGGGGGACAAGAATGGTATATGCGTCTTCTGTTTATGTGGGGGAGATGAAGGGGCTGATTATCTAAAGGCAAATAGACTGTGCACTTTGCAAGTGCAGTTGCATTTTTTCCCCTATAGCTTAGTGAATGTAAATCACTCCAAATATCACTTTAGCCTTTTCCCGTCCGCTGTATGTATATATACATCCTCAGACAGGAGCAGTAATATCAGGACCCAGCCACGGTCCTGGTGTTGTTCTTTAGAGCAAGCGATGGGCTTTTTGGTAAAAGTGATGTAAGTGGCTCTACAGCCTCCTCATCACTTTTATAGTCCCCACCCTCTATTGCCACCACCCATCGCCTTTCCCGGGCTCTCCTTTTCCCCTGGGGTGCCTGGGACCGATGTAACCTGTTGCTGCGGAAGCACTGTGAAGAGTGGGGAGAATTTTGTTTCTTCTCCTCCTCTGTGACATCAAAAACTGGAATCAATGTTTGTTTTGTCATTTCCAGTTTTGGTTTGTTTGTTTGCAACCTATTATAGGCTTGTAAAGCAGCCGATCAAACTGATCTCGGTTTAAGCAGTTGCTTTGGATGGCGAAGGAGAGATCTTGGGTCTTAATAGACCCCAGATATTTCCATAAAGAGGATCTGTTACAGCCCATGCTATCACAAGAGATTTTCATCTCGTGTGATAGCAATAAACGTCATTTAAAAAAAGACAGTGTAAAAAAAATACATTTTAGTAAAATAAATTATTTTTTTTTAAAGCACCCCACAACCGAGAGAGCTCTTCCCTTCTTGATTGAGCTGACAACATTGCCTCTGTTACACTGAAATCCTTAGCGGTGTTACTAGCTCTGCCTGGGGAGAGTTCTCCCCTGCTTGATCTCAGAGGTTCAGAGTGGGAGGTTTTCTATAGTCCAGAAGGGAAGAACTCAGGCAAAGCTGACAATGCTGCCTAGGATTTTACTGCAACAGAGGCATGGTGTTATCAGTTCAAACAAGAATTAGAAGTTCTCAGATTTTTATCAGGATCATCGGTTATTTTTCAGCAATGGCAGAAATTTTAAAGATCCAAAATATTGGAAATGGACAATAAGGGATAATTACATAGTTAGCCTGGCTGAAAAAAGACAAAAGTCCATCCAGTTCAACCATAGAGAAAAGAAAAAAAAAGTTATAATCCTATACCCACAGTTGATCCAGAGGATCAATGCACTATTATAATCTATACATTTTTTGGCAGATATGGATGATTTGGATTGTGAACGACGCAGAAACGAGTGTATTGATGAGATGTGTCAATTAGAAAAGCAGTTCTCAGAGCTGAAAGAAAAGTAAGTGTTACAGTCACCACATCTGCCCATACCTAGTATTTACAGGTAATCTACACTTGTCCTATCGATGTTTTGGAAAAACTTGCTGGTAAATGGACTTCTTTATTGTTTTTCCTGTTATTTACTCTTTATGGAAATGATTTGCATGGCATTATGCATGCCACATTTGAAGAATGCTCTCATGCTGGTTTTTGTGAGTTTCAGTTGTATTGATCATATGCATTATTTGTACAGGAAATGTGTCAAAACTGAAAAGTTTTGGAGCATTGCTTCACAAATGTAGGTTTGGTTTAGTCCTAAAACATTAATCTATTAAAGTGTTAATTGAAAAAAGCAGAAAATTAGTTGTTTGAGATGTTGAAGTAATTATTTCTGAGAAAAAAAGTTAAATGCCCATTTTGCGCAACAATGGCAATTGCATGTCTAAGTGATATATCTGTTTTTTGGGCAGAATGTTTGCATAAATATCATGCTTGGAAAACATGGATTTAAAAATCAGTTATGCATCCGTTTGAGTTGGGCTCATTGTGTCTGTGCATGTAATGCTGTAGGTTATTCAAGGAAAGATTGAACCAGTTTAAAGCCAAATTGGAAGAGGTGACTTCTGGTAGAGCTATGGAGTATATTAACCCTTTAGCTGACCTACAGAAGAACATGAAAATCCGCATTGAAGTTGCAGGTAAATCCTTTAAATTGTAGCTTCTGTTTCACAAAATGAGTTAATGTTGCACATAGAACCAGAGGTTCTGGAATTGGCCTAGAGTTTTCAGTCTCTCTGAGGACTCATGCAGTACCCAAATCACCAAGGTATTTACCAACTGTGACCTCAGAGGACACAGGATGTCTGAGCCGTCAGCCTTCGAGACTTTGATTCAAAGTCGCTAGAGTCTTTAGACCTTTGCAGGTCAACGTCTGATAATGGTATCTATTCCTCATACCATTATAAGGGATACCACTGATGGCAAGAGTCCCCATCTCCTTAGCAAAAGAAGTCTGAGGAAGAGACTGAAAAGTCTTCTTCCTGAATTACTTCATGGGATAAATCCATTCCATTTTACATCTGGGTCTGGACCAGCATTAGGCTTGCAGCACTATCAAAGATCAGGTTTCTGCTCTTTCTCCTTTTCTATATTCTTTCAGAGACCTTTGGCCTCTTATTCCTTAATTAAAACTTTTGTGCAGGTAGTCTCCCATGTAGCTCCCCCTGTTTGCTGTCTTGTAACTCTGAAGGATCTGAATCTAGTTCACTCCGTGCTTCAGAATCCACCATTTGAACCCAGTAGATACATTCCTCTCCAGGCTCAGAACTTTCCCCCTGCCTAAGGTAGTTTCTGCCTTTTATTTCAACCAGGACAATGTTTTTCTGTTCCTCTGTCAGATTGCATGTCACCAAAAGGAACCCCCCCCCCCATTGTGTGGCTTTTTTCAAGGTGTTAGAGTCTATCTCTCACCCATTGCTTCTTTTCTTGTCAGCCTGGATGGTCCCCATACGGATGCATCAGCTTCTCATTCCACTATCTCTAGGTGGCTCAGACAGACCACCAAGTATCAGGACCCACCCTTTCATGTCAAGGTGCACTTTACTACATCTGTGAATGCTTCTTGAGGTTTTTGGTATCAGGCAGTTTTCCAGATTTGGAAGGCTGCCACCTGGTCTTCTGTCAACAGCTTCACAATGTCCTTTAGGCAGCTCTTTGAGTTGCAGTCAGCATCCAGTTTTCAGTTGTTTTCTTGCATTTTTTTTTGCTGTGCTCCCCACCCCTCAGTTGGACAGCTTTTGGAATGTCTGAAGTTGAAAGACTTCCTGCATCTCTGAATGGAATTTAAAAAAATTGATTTTACGGTGAGTACTGTTTTGTAACATTACAGAAATATAAAGATATTTTTTTCCTTGTAGGAATTTATAAGGGATTTTGTCTGGATGTTATAAAACACCGCTATGAATGTGAGGTTCAGGGAGCTAAGCAGCATTTAGAGGCAAGTGGTTTTAATTGTATGCTATTATAAATAATTCCTGTTTCCTTTTTATATGTGCAAAGTTTCACTTTTTTTCTGTGTATCTGCTTAATTATTTAAATGCTTGGGGTAATGTTATATGAGACTGTTTAGCCCCCCTAGTTGTCTTGGTCTACAAAGTGATTAGCTTTTAGGTTGTAGAGATCAGAGAGTGGGAGTGATGGAGTAGTCTAGAAAAAGACTGGGCAGGGCTGACAATGCTTTGTCCACATAAAATCCTGTGTGTAGTCAGTCCACAACATAGCTCAAGATCTGGATACATTTCTGCCAGTGTACTTACAGGGTCTTTAAAGGAGTAAATCAAGGGGGAAAGTACATATTATGTTTTTTAAATGTGTTTGTTTCTTTGTATTTTGCCTTGTCATATACTTTGAAGTTTTACTCTTATTTACAGAGTGAGAAAGTTCTCTTATTTGATAACATGCAATGTGAACTATTGGAGCGAATCCAGCGACTTGAGGAAGACCGTCAAAGCATAGATATCTCATCAGGTATGCAGGATACAATTGCATTTTCTGCAATAAACATTTGTCTCTAGTAATTTACTGGATAATCTACATCTTTTGATTCAAAAGTCTATTGAAACTTTACTCTCTGCTATTACTTTAAGTGAGACATCTGTTCTATAGGTAGTCTTAGGATAGCCATTAATGAGCAAAAGTATAGCCCAAGAATGAGTGGAAGACATCTCTGTCTCTCTATCCATTCAGTCGTGTCCGACTCTTGGTGATTGCATGGGCCGTCACTCTCCACTCTTTCCGGTCTTGCACCTTTCTTATTAGCTGATACATGCTTAGGCCAGTGTTCAATTTCATAGCATCCAACCAGTGTGTTTTCGGCCTTCCTCTTTTTCTCCCCACTGACCATACCAAGTAACGTTGCCTTCTCCAAGGAATCAGATCGCATCACATGCCCAAAATAAGTCAGCTGTAATTTGACTATCTTTCCTTCTAAAGTTATTCCTGGTTTAACTCGCTCTAAAACCTTTCTGTTGGTAATCTTTGCTGCCCAGGGTATCCTCAATAGCCTTCTCCAGCACCACAATTCGAATGCATCAATCCTCTTTCTATCAGCTCTTTTCATAACCCAGCTTTCACACTCATACGTAGTTATAGGGGAAACTATCGTGTTTACCAGCTTGCATTTGCTGATGAAGCTGATATCCTTACTTTTCCACAATTTTTGCATACTTAGCATGGTGTTACGACCTAATGCGATCCGTTTTTTAAATTCCAGGAGCGCAATCACGCCTCCACAATAATCCAGGAACCTGCAGTTTTTCTTGCAACTTGCATGGACCAAAGCAGAGCTAACTCTTCGAGATCAACCACTTCTGATCAGCCTGATCCCAGTGCACCGGACTATTATTTTTTGCTTGAACTTTATTGAAATGTCAAAGTGACATTTAATGAAATTCTATTAACACATCAGTGTTGTAATGAGATAGTTTGCATTGCAGCCCACTGCACTGAAAAAGTACTGTATGTGGTATTTTTTTCCATGCATGCCATTGTAACACAGTGGTGTGACCAGACTCCATAAGAAAACAAGGCTTTTTGCTTTGCCTTGTGCTGGGACTGTGCTGGACAAGGCTGCCCAGCACATTCCCAATGCACCTGGTGCAAATGAGCCCTTCAAGTACCAGTACACTTTAAGTGCTTGTTCGGTACCTAAGGTATACCCAGCAGAAATGTCCTGAATGCAATTTAAATCATCAGGCTTATTTTGATCTCCATATTGTCAGAGATAACGGAACATCTGGTGCTACATGTCCTAGCACTTATTGAGCCTAGTACATTTGGACTCGGTGGGGTTTATTTACTAAAGCTGGAGAGTCCAAAATCAGACTCCCTTCTGCATAGAAACCAATCAGCTTCTAACCTCAGCTTGTTCAATGAAGCTTTGGCAATGAAACCTGGAAGCTGATTGGTTTCTATGCAGAAGTGAGTCTGATTTTGGACTCTCCAGCTTTAGTAAATAAACCCCAGTATGTCTATGGAAGTATGGAGGAAAGGCAGGTTATTTATTTTGGAATTTTTATGTCAGTGTTTGTTACCCCAACATTTCATATCCCTGCTATGTGTCCGTTGTACCTTGTACTTGTGTAAAAAAATGTCATAAAAAAATCCTGTTGTCTTTATATTGCTTCCTTTGTTTGAAATACCTGATCACCCAAACCGTCCTTTCCGCTCCTCCCAAGACCTCCTGCTCTCTAGCTCACTTGTCTCCTCCTCTCATGCTCGTCTCCAGGACCTCCCCAGAGCCTCCCCCATCTCTGGAACTCTCTACCCCAATCTGTCTGACTATCACCTACTCTGCCCACTTTTAGGCGATCTCTGAAAACCTATCTCTTCAGAGAAGCCTATCCTGCTTTCAGCTAATACCAAATCTTCTATTTCTCCCATCAGCCCATCCCCCACAGTTATTACCTTTTGTACCACCAACCCCTCTCTATTAGATTTTAAGCTCCCAGGAGCAGGGCCGTCCTTACCCTCTTGTATTGAACTGTATCGTTGCTGTATTGTCTCCTTTTATGTTGTAAAGTGCTGAGCTAACTGTTGACGCTATATAAATCATGTATAATAATAATAACCTGATGATCCTGCCAGTTTCCCTACTTTCGTATTTCATCCTGACCACCTTAGGCATAGAAGCACATCCTTCCCAGTGTGGTCAGTTTCTGGCTGTGCTGGGTGCACAGCCTGCCTGTCCTTCAATAACCAATACTTGTGCTGAAACCTACCCCTTCCCCACACAGTTCATCGCTGGGAAGATCAGTGTTTTGCTGTGTTTCTGTCTTTTGCTGGCACACACATACACACACATACAGTGGGGAAAAAAAAGTATTTGGTCAGCCACCAATTGTGCAAGTTCTCCCACTTAAAAAGATGAGAGAGGCCTGTAATTGGCATCATAGGTAGACCTCAACTATGAGAGACAAAATGAGAAAAAAAATCCAGACAATCACATTGGCTGATTTGGAAAGAATTTATTTGCAAATTATGATGGAAAATAAGTATTTGGTCAATATCAAAAGTTCATCTCAATACTTTGTTATATATCCTTTGTTGGCAATGACAGAGGTCAAACGTTTCCTGTAAGTCTTCACAAGGTTGGCACCCACTGTTGTTGGCCCATTCCTCCATGCAGATCTCCTCTAGAGCAGTGATGTTTTGGGGCTGTCGCTGGGCAATTTCAACTCCCTCCAAAGGTTTTAGAAGGGTATGCTTTGTTCATATAGTGGGGCAAAAAAGTATTTAGTCAGCCACCAATTGTGCAAGTTCTCCCACTTAAAATGATGAGACTTTCAACTCCCTCCAAAGGTTTTCTATGGGGTTGAGATCTGGAGACTGGCTAGGCCACTCCAGGACCTTGAAATGCTTCTTACGAAGCCACTCCTTCGTTGCCCGAATGGTATGTTTGGGATCATTGTCATGTTGGAAGACCCAGCCACGTTTCATCTCCAATGCCCTTGCTGATGGAAGGAGGTTTGCACTCAAAATCTCATGATACATGGCCCCATTCATTCTGTCCTGTACATGGATCAGTCGTCCTGGTCCCTTTGCGGAGAAACAGCCCCAGAGCGTGATGTTGCCACCCCCATGCTTCACAGTAGGTATGGTGTTCTTTGGATGCAACTCAGCATTCTCTCTCCTCCAAACACGACGAGTTGTGTTTCCACCAAACAGTTCTATTTTGGTTTCATCTGACCATATGACATTCTCCCAATCCTCTTCTGGATCATCCAAATGCACTCTAGCAAACTTCAGACGGGCCCGGACATGTACTGGCTTAAGCAGGGGGACACGTCTCGCACTGCAGGATCTGAGTCCCTGGCGGCGTAGTGTGTTACTGATGGTAGCCTTTTTTACGTTGGTCCCAGCTCTGTGCAGGTCATTCACTAGTTCCCCCCGTGTGGTCCTGGGATTTTTGCTCACCGGTCTTGTGATCATTTTGACCCCACGGGGTGAGATCTTGCGTGGAGCCCCAGATCGAGGGAGATTATCAGTGGTCTTGTATGTCTTCCATTTTCTAACTAGTGCTCCCACAGTTGATTTGTTCACATCAAGCTGCTTGCCTATTGCAGATTCAGTCTTTTCAGCCTGGTGCAGGTCTACAATTTTGTTTCTAGTGTCCTGCGACAGCTCTTGGTCTTCACCATAGTGGAGTTTGGAGTGTGACTGTTTGAGGTTGTGGACAGATGTCTTTTATACTGATAACAAGTTCAAAACAGGTGCCATTGATACAGGTAATGAGTGCAGGACAGAGGAGCCTCTTAAAGAAGAAGGTACAGATCTGTGAGCGCAAACAATCTTGCTTTTTTGTAGGTGACCAAATACTTATTTTCCACCATAATTTGCAAATAAATTCTTTCCAAATCAGCCAATGTGATTGTCTGGATTTTTTTTCTCATTTTGTCTCTCATAGTTGAGGTCTACTTATGATGCCAATTACAGGCCTCTCTCATCTTTTTAAGTGGGAGAACTTGCACAATTGGTGGCTGACTAAATACTTTTTTGCCCCGCTGTATACAGTATATACACACAAATGTTCTTCCTTGCATTTTTATATTTTAAACGACATGGGTTATTTTAACAGGTAAGGGTTCACATATACTTTAATGTCCCAATGAAAGCAAGCCACTATAACATTTGTACAGACAGACACCAACAATGTAAATCAGTTACTGCTCAGTAAAAATAGAAAGCACCAGTTTTCTGTGGACATTTACTCATGTCTTCTTAAGTATCTGTTGACGTGCTGTGTGGGTTCTGAACTCTGCATTCCAACATAATAAAAATTAAGTTTTTATTTTTTTTTATTGCTTCAAACTGTTAGGATGGCTGTAGATGAGCTGATATCTCCCAAAGAATGTCATGCAGGAAGACATCTGCTCTTTTTTGAATGGGTCTTTTCAAAGACCAAGAGAGGGGAACATCATTCACCACAGTTCTCACCTTAGCAGTATCAGCAGCTTACACTTTTCACCATCACTCTCCTTCAGAGAATTGTGGTAATGAGTATCTCCAACCACCAGAAACACTTTATGCGACCACAAAAATTTCTGTTAGAGGGCGATCTTTATTTTACATGCGTTACCATTTATTGCAGCAGATCAATGTGTGTTTGTTTTTTTTTTCTGGAAATGCACCGCATTAAAAAGATGTGTGACTGTACCGTATTTTTCACTCCATAAGATGCACCTGACCCTAAGACGCACCTAGGAAAACAAGAAAAAAAAATATTCTGAACCAATTGACTGCAGACATAGTGCAGGAAATGACCAGAGACTGTGGACATAGTACAGGAGATGAACAGAGACTGTGGACAAGTGCAGGAGATGACCAGAGACTGCAGACATAGTACAGGAGATGACCGGAGACTGCGGACATACTACAGGAGATGACCAGAGATTGCGGACAGAGTACAGGAGATGACCAGAGACTGCAGACACCGTACAGGAGATGGCCAGAGACTGCGGACACGGTACAGGAGATGACCGGAGACTGTGGACACGGTACAGGAGATGACCGGAGACTGTGGACACGGTACAGGGGATGACCAGAGACTGCGGACACGGTACAGGGGATGACCAGAGACTGCGGACACGGTACAGGGGATGACCAGAGACTGCGGACACGGTACAGGGGATGACCAGAGACTGCGGACACGGTACAGGAGATGGCCAGAGACTGCGGACACGGTACAGGTGATGACCAGAGACTGTGGACACGGTACAGGGGATGACCAGGGACTGCGGACACGGTACAGGAGATGACCAGAGACTGCAGACCTTTGGGGAGTGGGGGGGGGGGAGCAGGTACCTGAATTTGACAGGTACCCGCTCCCACTTCCACGGAGTTGTCCTCCCTCCTCATCTTCTGATACACATGACAGGTCCCAGAAGACTGCCGGACCATTCACAAAGCGCAGAGCTTCTCACGCATGTGCAGTGGGCACCCGGCTGTGAAGCTGCAAGATGTCACACCCGGGTGCCCACAGTAAAGATGCCAGCGCTGCGGAGAAAAGACGGTGAGGACAGCGCTGGACCAAGGAACAGGTAGGACCGAGGAGCACAGAAGAGCCGAGCGGCCGGCCCAGTATTTTAACACGGCGGCAAAACAGGAATACAGGGCCGGCCACTCCATATTCGCTCCATAAGATGCACAGACATTTTCCCCCATTTTTTGGGAGGAAAAAAATGCGTCTTATGGAGCAAAAAATACGTTATGTAGCCTTAAATCTCACACCTTAAGGCACATGCTGGTACCTTCAGTTTTGTCCTCTTTCTTTTAGCTAGTGCTCCATTCTTTCTTTTTCTTTCATCAGAATGGTGGGATGAAGAATTGAGATCTAAACGTAGTCGAAAAAAGTGGGATCCATTTCGTTCAGAGAAGAAGCGGAGAGTTCCATTGGTTTCTGGTATCCTTTTGTTAAGACAAACTTTGTGTGCAAAATGACTGCAACATTCAGTATCTTACTATCTTGCCATGTTGTGAATTTCGGGCTGAGAACTAAAACGTTATTATCATCTACGTTAAAAAAAGAAAACACGTTATGATTCTATAGAAACTGTCCAATATTTGCACTTTTTTTTTTTTTTTCGCTCAGAGAATGTATCGAAACTAGTGTGTTGATAATAGCAATCTGCTGCGTGTAAAAGCATATAGAATATTTAGTGTAGCTCCATTCCTCTTGCAAAGAAAATATATATCAGGAAGTACACTTGCAGTTTCAGGCTTAGAGGTGCATTGTGGTTAATACTGAACAGTAATCATTGACATACATATGGGAATGCATCCTGACTGCTCAGTACTATAAAGTTTCATCCAGGGATTGCTGTAGTGCACCAGTTTACCGCAGGGCCTTTATTTAGTAGTCTGCTGATCTTAAAGCCCCTGCTTGTGATGCAGGAGAGATATTCCCATACACCACCGTTGCAGGTTCACTGCTGTCATTCCCATGAAAAACCTTGATGTAAAAAAAAAAAAAACATATATAGTAAGACGTTTTTTCAACCACTCATCTGACTCTTGGATACCTTGGAAGTTTGTTATTGATGATACTAAAAGCTGAGTGTTTGGCAGCCTCACAACATAGACTTGAGGAAGAACACTCTTAATCCTACCATAGATGGATCAAATCCCAGCCAGTTCAGCAGAGACTGGCAGAGATTCAATCCATCAATGGGCAGTCTGATTCCTTCGACTTCCGGTTTACGTGTAACGTTACGTCTGCCGCGTTTTGTCACTTCCAACTTAATTTTTTTTAAAAAGCTTTTTTTTATAAAGTCGGAAGTAACGAAATGTGTCAGATGTAGCGTCGGACGTAAACCGGAAGTTGCGGAGTGGCCATTTTGGAAAAGGTTTTTACATACCATGCTGTATTTGTGAATGAATGTATGCTGAGACACAAGAATTTGTTTGTAAGCGCAGTTTTATTAATAAATGGCCCAATTCCTACATATGTTATGATGCCATTGGAGATCGTATATATTCTGGAATGAGAGGAATCTATGTCTATTTATGCTGATGGATTTTTATCGTCTGGTAATGTGCATGGTGGTGGATAGTGTGTTCACATACACTGGTGATTTGTTGAGACATGAGTGGAGCACAAGAGAGTGTATATTGTCTTGAGGATATTACAATATATCTGATTTCTTCGGAGGTGTATCTCCTATACAGAGGAGGACGGATTTGGGAGGTTGAACCACGGAGGAAGCTGGAGGTGAAATTTGTTAAAGCTATTCTCAAGTTCACATAGGGTAAGAGTAAGGATGACAGATGTTTAGAAGTGGAGACATGGTGGGGTTTTTGCACGATTTGGCACTATTTTGAAAGTACGTTTTTGTGAATGATATCACATATTGTGGATAATGCACTATGTGCCATTATAATTTTTCTTTTGAGGGTTAAATTGGAATAAGAAGAAATTTCACATTTAGAGGAAGAATATCGATGAAAAAGATAATCACACCCATGGGTGTTTAGGACATTAAGACGCTGGATTACACATTTTGGACATTTGGGGAGAAAGTATATAATTTTAGCATCTGGGGTTTTGTGTAGCTTTTGTATAGACACTATTATCACACCGATACATTCGCTTAAAATCTAAGAAGGAACCCATGCAGGGGTCCGTAAACCAAGGCATTTGGTCAACAGTAGTGTAGCAGCATGTAAGTCTGGAAATTGTTACATAAAGTACTATTGGCTGCAATTGGCAATTGGTGGCCTAAGCTGGTAAGGGTCATGCAACCTAGCCCAAGTTCTAGACCTGTGCGCATAAGGTAAAATTCACCTGGATACACTAAGTAGTTGCGATGAAATCTGCAATTGCAAAAACTGGTTTTAGGTGTTGGGATTTATTTTACCTTTCTACATGAAGGTGTTAAAGGTGAACTAACCCTTTAATAAACTATTGTTAGTTGTCAGTTCTCCTTGACAGAACTGATAGGTCCATATATTGTTTACATGCTACGGGATTTGGATATCCTAGAAGATTGGACTGCTATCAAAAAGGTATTTGAAAAGTTGTCTTTTCTGCAACACTTTTCTTTCTCAGCAGCAAAGTTTACCAATATTGTAACCAAAAAATAAAAATTAATAATAATGAATTCTAGTTACTGCTAAGCACTCACTTTTGCTGGTCTATATTGATCTATTTATGCTCTTCCCAACACATTAACCGTCTGTCTATCAGGGCCATTTTTTCAGTTTTTGCACATTTTAGGCCTAAAGATGAGTTAAACCCCCAAACAGCATATATTTTCTGAAAGCAACTGCACCCTGGAGAATAAAGTAGTGATAGTTCCAGTTTATGTCACAGGCTATCAGTGCAGATGTTTATCAAATGCTTTTTTTTTTGTAAAATAAATACACTAAAGTTAGTTTTAGTGCATACAAATACAATATATTTCCCAATTTTTGGTAAAATATAAAAGATGACTTAGATGGTTATTTGACGAGTAAATAAATACCCAGCATGTCAAGCTTTAAAGTTGTGCATGCCTATGAAATGGCAACTAACTTTGGTTCCGAAAAATGTCCATAGGCATTGCTTTAAAAGCCTTTAGGGATTATCAATTTAAAGTTAACCAGGAATAATGTCACTAGAATTATGATGCCAATATGTAACGTGTAGTGCAATTTTCATTTTCATATGTAGGCACGCTCACTGCATGTTCTTATGTGCGTGTAAGTGGGGGCATTTTGGGGGAAGGGTTATTTTTTTTTACTTAGACCCCTGATGTCTCCCCTGCCTTCTACTAAAGCTAATGGGGCACAGGTCATTCACCATTAGCTTCTTCCCTAGCCCAAACAGCCAGCGAATGTGACAGCTGTACATTTAAGCAACACAATACACATCACTTCCATGTTCATTTGCGGGAGGGGAGAGCAGTGAATGGATGTTCTCTGGTCTCCCTTTGTTTCACTTGATGACATATGCCATGCCGGTTCCAGATCCATAGGTGGGACAGTGGAGCCCAGGTTACATGGAAGGGCAGTCAGACAAGCGAGATGTTTTGGCAGGCTGTGGAAGTGATTGGGCAGCTTTACAGCTGCATGAATCACTTCCACATGAAAGCCCATCACCCACTCCACAAATTTAAACATGGAAGTGTATTTGAAATCCCTGTCTACCAGTCGCTGTTTATAAATGCTGCTGGTTAACAAGGGCTTTTAAGAACAGGGAATTTCTGAAATATTTTGCAACCATGACATTTGTCAAGATATAAAATATTGCTCTACACAAAAAAAAACCTGAATAAACAAATCAAGATTGCAAAGACATAATTATATGCAAAAAAAATCATGACTAATATTTAGTGAGTCTTGTGATTATGCTCCAATATATAATGAACAAAACTCCTGAAAGTGTCTGTAAGTGATAAATCCACTACTGTAAAAATGATGACAAAATGTTGGATCCCCCAGAGTGTGCATTCACCTTGAGGTTTGACCCTCATTACAGATCTTCCATGAAAAACAGCTCCAAAAAATCAAGGGGAGTAGTTACATTTGCTATTTCCACCTCAATTCCGGGTTGGGCAGTGAATGGGGGAAGTACAGAATTTCAGGGTTGCCAATCGGAAAGATATTAAGAGCTCTATGGGCCTGTGTGCGAGTTCTTGTTGGTTGCGGGACAATACTTGTGCTCGCCATCGCACCAACTTGTACTGCACTTATGGGACTCGCCACGTTGCCAAGTCATACTGTAGTGCTGGTAATTATTATTATTATAATACAGGATTTATATAGCGCCAACAGTTTGCTCAGCACTTTACAATGTAACGGGAGACAATACAGCAACAATACAGTTCAATACAAGAGGGATAGGAGGGCCCTGCCACCTGGAGCTTACAATCTGAGAGGTATGTGAAAGACCAGGATGTACTAGGCCACTAGTACTCGACAATATCAGTGACCATCATTGTTGCATATCAGTGCCAACTATCAGTGCCCATCAGTGCTGCCTATCCGTGCCACCTCATCAGTGCTGCCTATCAGTGCAGCCTCATCAACGCACATCAGTGAAGGAGAAAAATTACCTGTTTGCAAAATGTTATATTAGAAACAAAGAAAAACTTTTTTTTTGCTCTTTTTTTGTTTATAGAGCAAAAAATAAAACACCCAGCAGTGAGTAAATACCACCAAAAGAAAGCTCTATTTGTGTGAAAAAAATTATAAAAATTGAATATGGGTACAATGTTGCATGACGGCGCAATTGTCATTCAAAGTGCGACAGTGCTGAAAGCTGAAAATTGGCCTGGGCAGGAAAGGGGTATAAGTGCCCGGTAGACAAATGGTTAATAGCTACCTGTGTGCAGGCAAAGGGGAGTCTAAGAGGATCTCTTGAGCTTGCTGCTTATGTACTTGCTTTGTATTAAACCTTATGATGGGTATTCTGAAATATCTTGAT